GGAGACCGTTTTAAGACTAGAGGAGATCGTTTTAAGACTAGAGGAGACCGTTTTAAGACTAGAGGAGATCGTTTTAAGACTAGAGGAGAGAGGAGACCGTTTTAAGACTAGAGGACACCGTTTTAAGCCTAAAGGAGATCGTTTTAAGACTGGAGGAGATTGTTTTAAGACTAGAGGAGATCGTTTGAAGACTAGAGGAGATCGTTTTAAGACAAGAGGAGATCGTTCCTTCCAGGCCGTTGCGCCAAAGCTTTGGAACGATCTCCCGCTCCCATTACGTTCTCTTGATTCTGTGGAAGTTTTTAAGAGCAAACTTAAAACCTATCTCTTTTGCAAATCTTTTTAACAGTCCCAGTGCATTCGAGGTACTTACGGTTTTTATTACATTTTATTGTTTTACGTAGTTATGGTTTTTATTACATTTTGTTGTGTATCTTGATGTATAATTGTGCACTTCTGTGAAGCATCTTGTGACCTTTGATGTCTGTGAAAGGTGCTATATAAATAAACTTTACTTACTTACTTACTTTACAGAGCTGAGAATCACAGCTGAAGCTGGACAGGACGTCTCTCTGCCATGTGAAACTGGAACGGAGACCAAGATCCTGCTTGTGGAGTGGATCCGACCCGATCTGAGGCCAGATGTTGTTCTTTACTACAGAGACGATCACCTGTTTCAAAACCTCCAGCACGCGTCCTTCAGGAACCGGGTGGATCTGCGGGACGAAGAGAGGAGGGATGGAAACGCGTCTCTGGTTCTGAGGGACGTGAAGATGAATGATACAGGAACATATCAGTGCAGACTCATCCAGGGAGCAGGAGCCCAGGACCTGATGTTAATCTCCACCGTCCACCTGGAAGTTTCTCCTCCTCCAGGTGAGTGAGTGTGTGGGTGCTAGAGGGAGGGAAACATCTCAGATCAGAAAAACCTTTACAAATGATCCAGAACGGTCTTCAGAATGGTCTTCAATCAGCCCAAAAAAAAATCTCACGTCCACCTAATGTTCACTGAACTCCACTGGTTACCTCTGGCTGCCCGTATCAAACCATAGTCCCTGATGCTAGCCCACAAGTCCCTGATGCTAGCCCACAAGTCCCTGATGCTAGCCCACAATTCCCTGATGCTAGCCCACAAGTCCCAATGGGAGCACCAATGGGAGGACCAATGGGAGGACCATTGGGAGTACCAAAGGGAGTACCAATGCTAGCCCACAAGTCCCTGATGCTAGCCCACAAGTCCCTGATGCTAGCCTACAAGTCCCTGATGCTAGCCCACAGGTCCCTGATGCTAGCCCACAAGTT